AAATTTATGACCAACCAATAAAACGCTGTAAATAAAACAGTAACAGCAACCAAATCGCTGACTTTGACGAGCTAGGCAAGGTAAGGAAAATAACATTTCAATTTTATTGCTTCGTTTGGTCCACAAAAAGAAAAGCCTCATCAAATATTAAAAAAGACTGGAAAATTTATGCCGAATTCCATTAGAGTTATAGCGTGAAAATTGCCTCGATGCTTTTGCTAAACAAATGTCAATGCCCCAATTAAAAAGAGAGGGGCAATAACTCAAGGGTGGAGTCTGCTAAATAATAAAACTACTTTCAAAAGACAAAGCACACAAAAGTTTCTTGGTGGAAATCTCTAAAGTCTATTTAAGCACCGCCTGTTGAAATATTCAAATTAAGCTGGCAAATTGAGCAAGATTTCCACTTATAAAAGCGAGACTTTCATTTCATTTGTAGCTTACCTTACTCTCATTCCTTATTCCTCATTCCTCATCATCTTCGTCTTGGTTCTCCTTTTCTTATTTGTATTGTGTATTGTGTGTTTTCCTCGTTTCTTGATTGCGCTCATTCCCAATTGTCCATTTCATGGACGCGCAGCATTTGCATTTTTTATTTGCTTCAAGAGAAATTGACCTTTTTGGCCAGCTGCTTTCTTGGCCTTTGTCTAAACTCCTGGACTGCTCTGGACTTTTGTAAGTGGCCTTCTGGGTAAATTTTGATTTTTGCGTAATTTTATTTTTCTTGTTGCTGTTGTTGTTGCTAGGGCCAAGTCAAAACTCGTAGCTGGGCCATAAATAATGCAGCAGCAAAGCCCGGCAATTGCCTCAATCACATCGGGGCCAAGAATGTTCACGCATTTCCAGAATGAAAGGGGGCAGTGGCAGCAAAACACGGAAATTGAAATGAAACGAAACTCATTTAGATATATCCGTCTAAACCTTCTTAACAAACCCAGCTCCGACAATGCTTCCATTCCATTTGCTTTGCCAAATTTTTCCCAAATGCATATTAAAATACGCAAGTCCCACAGATTTCGTGTCCCGTTTGCTGGCCAAATAAATGGCTTGTTGTAAAAATAAACGACAAACGAATGGCCCAAACAATAAAACGAAAGAAAGAAAAAAACCAACAAAATAACGCCCACGACTTACGACATTTCCAAAATGAACAGGAACAGGAACGGGAACGGGAACGGCAACAGGAGTATGGGCATGTCATGTTCATGTTGACTAATGTTTAACGAGCGCAACTTGTCCTTGTTGATGTTGTTTATGAACCTGCCACTGTTTGTGCCTCCCTGCCCCGCCCCATGCCTCTATTCAAATCCCTGCGGTGGTCGAGACCGGATCGCGGCGAGAATTGACACGCGTGCCTCCTTCCAAGTCCTCCGCTTCGCCAGCATTTCAAATTGATGAAGTTGCGCCGATATAATGGCAAGGAGCGATTTTGCAGGAGCAGCAGCAGCAGCAGCAGCAACTGATGTGTGGAGGGTGGTTTTTGCCACCCCTCAGCTGGTGTCAATTGTGTAATTGCCAAATGTTGTTTTCAAATATTTAATTGAAAGGGTGTTTTACGCATTATCGCTGTTTGCCTGTTGGCCTGTTTGCCTGTGCGTTGACTGAAGGACTTGCCATTTCGTGGTTACACGCGTATCCTGTTACAAATCCAGTGTCAATGCTGTTTTGCTTGCATGTTTAATATAATTGTTATCCGTTTGTCTATTTTGTTGCGCGGCTACTGAAGGGGGAGTGATGTTTGTTGTCATTTCAGTTGCTGTTTGCTGTTTGCTGTGTGCTTTTGCAAGTGTTGAGATTTTCTCAGCAATTGATGCTGATAACAGTTGACCCCGCGTGATCAACAGCAGATGCTACAAATACACTTTGAGTTAAGTGTCCTGGGAAAGTTTACATATATACCAAAAGAGGTTATAATATTCGATTAAAGAGAGAAAAAACCTCACATTCAGAAAAGCTTACAACTTACAACTGAGAACTTTGTTAAGATTTACACACATTTTTCTTAAAATACAAATTTTGGACATAAAAAATGTTCAACAAGCAAATTACGATTGATAATTAAATGATAAAATAGGAAATTGAAATTTAATTAAATCGAACCAAATGAATATCTTAAAGCTTAAGCTTGTAGCAGTGGGAAGAAAAATATCAATAAACTTCAGTTATTCTAGTTATCTTATCTGATCTAATAAGCAATATAAAATGATTGACCAATAATCATTAATATTCAAATATGTAAAACAATCCCTCATATATATACTAGCTGATGATATTGATCAAATCGATTATATATGATCGATGATAATCATTGATGTGGAGTCGAAGGTCGTATTTCGCACTTTCCATGCAATTCAAATCAGAAATTAACTCAAGCCACTGAAAATTGTGTGCTGGTTAAGGAAAACTATATTTTATTGATAGAAAACCTGTTGTTATAGAGGATATAGCGCTTTGTATATTATAATATAATCAATAATTATTGTGTTAATTTCAATAATAGACAATGTAATATGTTATTTGATCATTGGTTGAGACAAGATTTCTTGCAGCTTAAGGAATTTTTATATATTCTTTAGTAAACTTCTTTATTATGTTCCTTGAATCTCAGTATCGAAGTTTAGTAGATGTAATAATGTTATTCAAGGGATTTGATGTATTTTGTTGCTTATTTATAAAAATAATAATTTATTGACTAAATAAGTAAGTAAATAAATCAATTATTATAGAAATGAATTACATGAATTCAATTACATAATAGCTCTGAAGCAATTTCATTAAAAGACAGTCTTTGTCAATGGTTTCCAGATGTTGTAACCAATTTCAGTCGCATGTCAGCTGCACAAGGACCTGTCCCTGTTAGCTGGTCACTTGAACTCAACGAATGGGCGTTAAAAGCAGCTTTCAATACAATTTACGTGGCCACATGGCACCTACATAGGGAGCATTGACGACAGGACGACACCTACGCTCAATGCACAAAAGAGCACTCAACGCGAATGTCGATGACGAGTGGCGAAAAGAGTCTGGGAAAACACTGGACAGCAGAGCAGAGAGCTGAACGCTGAACGAACAGCAATTCCAATTGCATTTTAATGCAATTACAATTCATACTTCATACAAACCCCACCCAATTCTACCCACTGGGATTGAGAGGGAGAGAGAGAGAGAGAGAGGCAGTCCTTGGGCAACTTGACAACCCCGAAGGCCCACTTGACATTGACAATAAACAGCGAAGCGTTGCGTTGCGTTGTTGCATTGTTGAAATATGTCCTGCGTCCTTAATTTCACTTTTATTTTTGCCAGCCTCCGCAACGAGAAATGAAATAGTCCTGCGCATCGGCCTGTCGCAGATTAAAAGATATAAATTCATATTCCCCAAGCACCCGAGGCCGTGCGTGCGAAGTGTGTCCGTCTGTGTGTGTGTGTGTGTGTGTGTGTGCGACACACACACACGCTCGCACACCCTCCCCGAGGATCGATTAGCTTGTTAGGAATTCAATTGGAAAACTGCGTTTTGTTTTGTTTTCCTTTGCTATGCATTTTTTTGCGTGCCTATTTCATATATCTTTTTTATGAAGGGATTGCGTGAATGATGAGCTGGCTCAGCTTTATGGCAGCCACGTTTGATTTCATATCGGTCACCAGCGACTCGCTTGCGTTCAAATATGGGAGTAACAGGTGTACAAGGCACAAGGCACAAGGCACCGGAAACAAGGCACATTTTGAGCTCAACACGACGCTCTCAAACCACTTAAAGTAATTAGCTACAAGGATGCTCAATTGCTCGGCTTGTCAGTATTCACTTCATCCCCTGGCCAAATTAAATGTCTGCTGTTCTTCATCAAGGAAGGCGGCACAGAAAAAAAACGTGCCAACAAAACAACATTTTCGCATCTTGGCGCACACAGCATTTGTCATAAATGCGCAATTATATCCAACATCCATGGAACATTATGATTCATTCAATTACTGTATTAATATTGAATGAACGCACACTACTCAAATTCACCTTATACATATATATATTTATATAAATATTGGCCCATTTACATACTTACAAATATCTATAAATATTATATATTGCAGCTTTTACCGCATTTTCGTCCCTATTGATTTCTTCAACCCGTTTCGATTTAATGTTTTCCATAATCGTTCAATTCCATCCCCTTAAATGTTTTGAGGAGCTTTTTTGATTGATGATGCCAATTCGGAATTTCACATTAACTGAAAGCATCATTGGCTATTACAAGACGGTATTTAGTAGCAGCTTTATTAACTATTAGATTCTCTCAACTATTTAATATGATTTATTTTAATTTAAAGAAGAGACAGAACATAACCAGAAAACACAAATTAAATATATTTGAATGGTGGAATATAAATATGTATTCGAATGTAAAATGTTTTTATTTCGGTGTGTATTCTTTTTTAATATGTTTTTTATTTATGTACTTCCATAAAATAAATGTTTAATTGTAACGGTTATGTAATATAACCGTTTTGCAATCTAGCCCACTGGCATCAAACGGTTAGCCGCAAACTTGAACTCAAGATGGCGCTACAGTCTCATAAGCGAGAATTACAACCGACTTAGCGGAGACACGACCCTATCGCATTGGAACCAGTTTTGCTTTTAAATTTAAAAAGTTTTAAATTAAAATGCACTTTTATTTGAATAGTTTTGGCTTAAGCCACGCCAAAATATATCTAAACACTTTAGCAATACTTTTGATGACTTTTCAATATAAGTAAAGAGAATTTCCTTGCAAATATTGTGGCTATAGAAGTTAGTAAAAATATTTTATTATATTAACAAGACATACAGAAGCGGAAAAGCTGGCTAAAAAGGCAAATGCATTTACTTAAAAAAAATCCTTGAAAGGATAAAATAAAGATGATTAGTTTGCCATACTTTGTCCAAAAAGAAGTCTTAATTAAGTTTAAATACAACTTTTATTTCACTGCAATAATAATATAAGTATTAAATAAATCACTAAATATATATATTTTTTTCAATATTTTTGTAGCATTTCTTGCTAATAACAGTAACGATCAATTAAATCATAATGGGATCCATTTAATGTTTGCCATAATCGTTGGGCTCCACGGAATCGACGCCCGGCGCAGAGGCGGCGAGTGCCTCGAAAATCTCATTTGATTGATGATTATTTGAGTTTGGGAATAAACTGTTCTCATTATTGTTGTTATTATTGGCACTGGGATGAAGGGGATGAAGGTTTAGGCCACGAGTTTCCGCTTCCGTCTCGGGCCTATTTGCATTGTAGGCCAATGCGTTGGCAAAGGAGCGATGCAGCATCGCATTGCCTACAAAGTGTTGCAGTTGCATCAGGCAGCTGTGAAATGAGAAAAAACGTTCCTAAATTACAGTTTCTAAAAATGTTCAGATAGACAAATTGATAAATTGATAAGTAAATAAAAATTATGCCACAATTGTACTTGATTCTTTCCCTGAGAATAAGATATATTTATCACAATTTGCTTACCGTTCCAACTTAAGATCAGTAGGCTTATCCTGAATATCGTACAGATCCAATAGACCCAGATTATGACCATTTGACAGGAGAGCTGCTGGCGGTGCTCTTTTCCCATTTGTCCAGCCTCGAGAATACTGAAATGTCTGCCCCATGCAGGCCATGGAGAGGGTGAAGAGCAACAGTGGCAGCAACAAGACACGCAACATGTTTATCGACGACTAGCACTTATGTACACAACTTTTAAATGCGAAACTTTTGCTTATAACAAATATTTTCAAATATTTATATTCAAAACAAATAAGTCTGCGCAAAACCACACACAGCCAGGTCGAAGCAGTGTCTGAGCCTTTATTGCTGCTCACATCGCCTTTTATATGTTCAGGAGCAAAGTGCAATTTCGTTAAAATCACTTGGCCATAAACGTAGCTTCAGCCAAAAGGGGTAACTTTTTCCCTCCTCTTTTGACTTGCTTCCTAGCCCTCTAGCGCATGCAGATTAACTGAGATTATTAGTTGGCAATTGTTTTCATGCGTAGCCAATGTGGCATTTATCGCCCACATGGCCACGCCCCCAGCAACCGGATGGTTGATCAAATTGAATGCATTTGCTGATTGGAAAATTGCCACTTGCCACAAGTCCTGCCAAAGAAATCTGGCAAGGCATAAAGCACTGTAGTTGAATAGTTAAAGTAAAAGTGTTTGGACTTTTGTGCCCTCGCAGAGTCTATTACAATTTTCTCATGAACTGTGTAACGCATTGAAGAAACCCTTTCTCATCCCATAAGGGGTATATCAGCATCAATAGGAATCTTTCCGACCCGCAACGGGTATATCAGCATCAACAACTAAGTCAGTATTGAAGCTAACAGCAACTTTGGCTGTATCCGGATTTTAATATTAATTTTGGGATTATTAACCTTGATGAAACTCACTTTTTATTAACATCGATTAATCAGCATCATTCAATTCAGACATACCCATTTAGTGTCTGTTTTTTTCCAGAGTATTTCAACTTCTTTCCGATTTTATGTTCCATTTTTTCTTTTTGTAGTTTCTGCTGAGTATTTCGCCTGAAGCCTTTCGCACGGCAATCAACACTCAAATTCTTTGACTGGCTTACGTATTAGGTTTATATTTAGCAGAAAATCTAAACTTGGCTTTTTTTGCCGTATATAGCAATAAAGTATTTATGTACATATGTACAGAAAGTTATATATAGATATATATGGATTTAAAGACTAGTAATCTCAGTGCCGTTGGCAGGATTCGATTGTTCGTTATTTTGTGCCAGTTCCACGGCATTTTTTTTCTCGTTTGATTTGCGGCGACGCATCAAAAAATAGCAGAGTCTATAAATATAATATGGATTAGTTAAAAATAGAGTAAAAGTAATAGATAAGAATGGCATAAGGTATATCAGCATACTATTTTTAAGACTTACACAAAAACGAGCACATTGGGAATATAGAAGATTTCGCCAAACAGAAAGAAGGCGCCTGGAAAAGAGTCGACGGTGTTTTTATAAACCGCACTGAAGATGGGCGGAAATATGAACTGGCCAATGGGCTCACTGATGCCAAAGATGGAATACATTTTGCCTACAAATAGATGCAAAAATGCGTTATTTTTGATCATTTTTGAGCATTTAATGCAGGAACTCACTCAGCTCATCGCCAGCAACAATACTCGCTCCAATCGTTTTAATGGCGATGACGCGCAGACTGACAAACATGTCCACCACACTGGCCACATAGAAGGATGTGGTGGTGGTGGCAAAGGCCTGTTGAATATAATTATAATATATATAAAAAATTCCGAGATCAGAGATTAAGTCACTTACATATAGAGCTCGGGAGAACACAATGGCGAGGGCAGATAAAATGCCAATAGTTGGATCGGAGAATTTAAGCAATTTACTGAGAATGGCGGTGCCAATAAATGTGCCCACCAAAGCCGCACCGCCTGAGATGGTCAAGAAGATGCTAAAGTCGTTGCCATTCCAGTTCAGCTTCTTCAATGTGAAACGATACCAATAATCATTTTCACCCACTGCAGGTCCCAACGTCAAAAAGTAGGCCAATATCAATAGGCCCAATAGGAGGCGTCCATTATTTTTGCGCTTCACCAGCGGAAGTCGGAGGCAGTCCATCACAAGCGTGGGATCGAAGAGTTCCTTCAACAAGGAGCGACGTGCTGGCACTGGAGGTGGCTCCACTTTGGGTGGCTCCAAATGTGGCGTCAGCTGAAAATTGACATTCTTATTGACCGGCAACTCATCCAAGTTGGTTATCTCATAGGCCATATTATCAGCTGCATGTGTCTGAGATCTGGGCGGCTCAGTGCTACTTGGCTCATCGGGGGCATTTGGCTTTGGCTTAATCTCCTTGATGAAGAAGATTATGTAGAGTATGGCAATAATTTGAAAGACAACAGCAGAAGCGAATGATACTGAAATTTCAAATAATTGTCTGTGTTAACTCAATGCATTTCTGGGTAACCTTTTATAATTATTGAACTTACTGACATAGCCAAACGTGGTAAAAAGCACTCCACTAACGGCGCCCAGGAAGGGCACACCGGTGACAAACATGGCAAAGATGCCAAAGCGAAAGATTCGATCCTCTTCGGGTGTGGCTATCGTTATATAACTGTAGACAGCCATTAGACAGAAGGTTAAGCCACCGCAAATTGAGGGCACAATGACCTCAAGGTACATGCCAAACTCCATTGGCAGACTATCGAAGAAAATGGCCGAGATCATCAAACCTGCCAGGTGACCAGGCGCACATTACAATTTAGCAATGTATAAATCTTGACAGTTTCATTCACTTACAGGTAAACGACAACGCTTCGCCCACGATGGGCAATATCATGCATGGTTTCCTCTTGTTATATCTATCTGACCAGCCTCCGGCGAATAGCAGCACAATCAGCGGGAATATGGCGGCTAAAAAGGAACAATTTTAGAAAATATGTGAAAATGATTATCGCTTGAAGTTCATTTAAGAATACCGTCTCAAATCTGACTTGGAACCGGTTCAAACTCTAATTATAGCATAACTGATTTGATTATCACAAGCTGTGTTTCGATTATAATAGAAACTTTACTTCAAACTTTGAAAAAATATATTTGCTCTCTCTCTCATCTCTCTCTCTCTCTCTCTCTCTCTCTCTCAACTAGAGCAATACTATTGTTTTAAGCCTTATTTAATTCAATTAAATATATTATACAACTAAGTATATACTTATGAGTTACAGTAGTAGCTTTGTCATAATTTGAGATATATATAATACAAAATGATTTTCGACTATATCCTGGTAGCCGTATAAACTTTAATGAATGATAGTCTTTTTTCTAAATCATTATTCAATTAATGCAAATACCAAATTATTAAAATACTCAAATACTTTTACTAGAAATGAGTAAGCAATTATGATTTTTTTTGCTGAGTGGTTAGCAATAATATTGCTTGTATTTTTTCTTAATGTTATTTAAGATATTTATAATAGAAAGTGATATCCTGGCAGCTGGGTTACTTATATACTACTAAAATGACTAAAATATTAACAATTTGGACATACTAAGGTTCTATTCGAAATGAGTAAGCAATTTTGAATATTTCACTCAGTGAATGCGATTAATAATTATAAATGTCAAATCATTTCAAGCCTCTTCAAGACTATACAAAATTTCAGCTTACATTATTGCACATATGCAAATGGAATATAATAGCCACAAAATGCACAATAGACGTTATATTAATTAAACCAATGATGTTTCTCTTACAATGCTGATGTAATGAGTTTCAATTAACATTTTATTGACATGAAATCAAGTATTTAGCTTTTGAAGCTATTCAATTTCTAATCACAAATTAGTTGCCTTGGCAATGACAGTAACTTAAAGGTTGAAAGACATCCGAAAATAAACACAACACAAAACACAATCTGTGTAACTAACCGGTTTGGACACTAACTTGGCTATAATTTAAGACTAAGCAGAGCTTAAATTAAATCTCCCATAAAACTAGAAGTTATGTAATCGAAAAGAATTTAGAGAATTCATCAGAGAAAACAGGCTAATGATTGCAATTTAATGATCGGGGAATCCACTAACTGCTAATTATGTACCAACATCTTCTTCTATGTGTTCATGTCCATAAACATTTATATTAAGACTCATAATGCGAAACATTTCTTATTGTTTTTTTCTCCCATTTTTTTTTTTTGCTTAGCTATTTGGCATTTATTTTTAATGAAACCTGAAAATGAAAAATGGGGATTGAGAAGATTCAAAAACTGGTTGCATTTACATATAAAAAACAACATTTATCTGTGTGTGTGGGCATATGTATCAATATAAATAAATATATGCTTAGATGTGTGTGTATGTGTGTGCTTATATTACCAATTGGTGCACGTTTTCCCGAAACATCAGCGGATAGTTTTTGCGCTTCTATTTCCGCCTTGCAAACGGTATAATTAAATCCGCTAGAGCTTATGTCGAAAAGAATCTGCTCCGCTGTGGGTCCCGTTGTTGTATTCTCGAAATTGAAAGCATCACAATCGATCCCCAATTCGGACTTGTCCAGCATTGTGGTACATGTGATCCTATTGTATCCGAGATTAACGCGACACGCCTTTTCCAGCGGAAAATTCTGCATGGCCACTTGATTGAAAACCGATGCCATAAAGTAGAAGAAGAAAAACGGCTCAATGACCAAATAATGCCGATAGCGCCACAATTTTTGCAAATAATTCAATTTGGGCTCCTCCTGGGCAGCCGACGCTGCCGCCGCAGCCGCCGCCGTTGCTTCAGTTTGATTTGTTTTTGCCATTGCTCGACTTCGAATTCTTTAGATTTTTTATTTTTATTGTTGCGCTCTCTTGAGCATTTACTACATGTTAAACAACCAAGTTCTAACAACAAACTGTCGTCTGGCGCGGCTGGCAAGCCAGAACAACAGCTTGATCATACGCACAAGAAACTTGTTTATTAATTTGCTTTATTCTTTTGTTATTGTATTTGTATTTTTGTTTGATAGATATATATATTGAATTTTGTCATTGCGAAGATCTGTGATATATTTGCATATCAGAGAGTGAATCTTTCTATGTTTCTCTCTCTCCCTCTCTCGCTCAAACACAGTCTTTCATTGATAATAAATTGAATGCTGCAGTGAATAACAACTAGTTGGAACTGCTGTTACGTTCAATGAGAAGTATTTGTGGCTGCGTCAATGTCGTAGCGATCGAACCTGTACAATGTGCAATCTCTGTCAAACATGCCTAGCTTACAAAATATAATAATTATACCTAGAACTAATTGCAATTTATACAATTGTGTAAATGAAGCCGGCTTTTTGTTTGTTGTTTCTACTCAGTCCAGCGATGAGTGCAATTCTGATTTGTACAAACATAGTAGAGTCGCATTTCTTCTTCGGCGCGGCGGGTCTGTGCCTGGAAGAAGACAGCTTCACGATGCGAGCATTTGGGGCATGCGTGGTCTTCGGTACGCGGCAACGTGGGATCGGATATCACGTCCGGCACTATGTGCGTTAACTCGTCGATTTCGTGCATAATTTTGTTGACATATATGCAATTGGAGTCGGCCTCCTGCTTGTAATCACAATTGCGGCACGCGTACATCAGAGTTTTATTATCCTTGTCCTCCTTGGGGTACAACATGTTGTTGCATTCCTGACAAAAGCGAATGCCCACGAAGCCGGGTCCCTCGGTATGCGTTGAATCGAACAGACCAGCCATAGCGCCTAGTATTGAATGAACCAATTTAATAGCTACTTTCAAATATATTCTCACAAGTTTACGTGAATTGGTTTCACAAAATTGTTTACTGAACAATATGAAATGGGAAATAATCACCAAGTTTCGATAATGTAGCTAACAATGCTATCGATGACCAGATTAGCTCGTGAATGATGTTAATCGATAGTTCCCTGGTCTTGTCTGCTGCAGCGACCAGCCCTAATGTAGAGTATTCAAATGGAAGCACTTGTTGCGATTTTAATTCAACTTTCTAGTAATCAATGTTAAGTCAGCCAAACAAATATAAATATTGGGAATTTTGTTTTCAAAACCTAATGTAAGAAGGCAATAAGCGCATAGTCTCTTGACAAGCTCTACCGAGTAACAATAAGTGATTGCTAATGGCTGGTCACATTTATTTCAGAACAGCTGATTGGCTGTGCACGAATACAGTGAATAGTCAGACGCTAACGCCATTGTATACGTGCCTACAATCGAGCTGTGAACTGTAAGTGAAATTTTTATTAAATAAGCGTACATTAAGTATTTCTCAAGTACATTTTTGTTTTCACGGTCACACACACAGAATTTGAAAAGCATAATTTTCAATCAGTGTAGACAATATAGGCTTGCCTTACAAGTAAATATGAAGCGATCGCTAACTCTCTCGCTCTCACTTGGAGTTTTTCGCGTATAACTATTTCCCTTGCGCCTCGTTTCAGTCAGTTCAGATCGGCATCGAGTTCAGACAACGTATGACATTCATTGGCGCAAGTTTCACATTTAATTAGAGAAACTACAGCTGCATTGTGAGTGTGTGTAATTGAATGTCATAAATATAGTATTTAAACGAAGCATTGACGCTGAAAAGTTATTTCAAATCGAACATACTTCCGCCAAAGCCGGCAACAAAATTATTAAATAGTGAAAAGTATGCAACAATTTCAATTTATATTAGAATTATTTTCAACCCTAAATATATTTTTCACTGCACCGACGCCGAACAGCGCAGCAAACTTGTTGCGTTCTTTTTCGATTTCTCACCCAGTCAGTGTGTAGTACGGTGTTCTCGCTCGCACTTGCACTCGCACGATCAAAGAGTCAGGGGCGCCGCCATTTTTATTGTGCGCTCTGCTTCTAGGCGTTGCTGACGTGACGCTCGTTGTGCTGGTTGTGCTGTGATCAATTTAAATAAATCACGAGCCTAAAAGTAGGCTAAATTACGCAACCACACACTGATCCTTGGCATCCTTCCGCCTACTCCTCCCACTCTTACTCCATCCACAGATCACTTCCAATGAGCGCGAGAAAGGACGCCTCCGAAGCGAACTCCCTCAGCTCCAGCAGCGATGGCGGCGGCAACGTAATCAAAATCTTGGACGTTGAGAAAATAGCATCAGCCAAGGATAAACGTCCTGGCACCCGCATGAAACTGCTCAACGATGTGACAGCGGCTAAGACAAAAATCTCTGCACGCGTCAAGCAAGAGAAACGCACCAGCATCAAAATACTCAACAACGATGATTCAGCGAACAGTCCCAAAGGCAGTAGCGATAGGCGCTCTGCTGGTAAAGCAGCGACTGCAACAGCTGGCGTCAAGATCTTAAATGAGAAACGCATTGCGCCAGCCTCGACGCCCGTGGAGACGACCAAGATTAAGACATCGCCCGGTAAAAAGAAGAAAATGGATCACTATGTGCTGCAAGCCATCAAGAGTGAGAACAGCAAATTGGACAATACGACGACCAGCAGCGTGGAGATCGAGGATGATGACGATACCATTGATTTTATACTCGCCGACGACGATGTCGAGTTGGGTGCCGCCAAGGAGAACGACGATGAGTTCGTTGTTTCCGGTGTGGAGGAAGACGACGACGACGATGATGATGAGGATGAGGGCACCGCTGAGGGCACTGGTACAACGAATCGCAATGCCGGCAACAACAGTGAACTCAAGGAGATTTTGGAGCATGTGTGCGGCAAGTGCTACAAGACATTCCGGCGCGTCAAAAGCCTGAAGAAGCACTTGGAATTCTGCCGCTATGACAGTGGGTATCATCTGCGCAAAGCGGACATGCTCAACAATCTGGAGAAGATCGAAAAGGATGCAGTGGTCATGGAGAAGAAGGACATCTGCTTCTGCTGCAGCGAGAGTTACGACACCTTCCACGTAATTTACCCCAATTTATGTGATTATATTTTATATGTCTAATTTAATCTTCTATTTGATCTTCCAGCTGGGCCACATCAATTGCCCTGACTGCCCCAAGTCGTTCAAGACACAAACCAGCTACGAGCGTCACATCTTCATCACTCATTCCGAGTGCAATGATTATCCCTGCTCCATATGCAATGCGAAATTGCGCAGCGCTGCCTTACTCAAACTGCACGAGCAGCAGCATCAATTGCGTGGCAAACCCTTCGCCTGCAAGATCTGTGGCAAGGATTTTACGCGCTCCTACCACCTGAAGCGCCACCAGAAGTATTCGTCGTGCTCGGCCAACGAAAATGATACCATGAGCTGCAAGGTCTGCGATCGCGTATTCTATCGCCTCGACAATCTGCGCGCCCATCTCAAACAGCATCTGGGCACCCAGGTGGTCAAGAAGCCCGAGTACATGTGTCATGTGTGCAAGAATTGCTTCTACAGTCTGTCGACGCTCAAGTGAGTCACTTTCTTAAATATATAAATATAGAGTTGCTATACCATAAAACGTATAACTCTCTCACAGAAATGAATATACAAATAAACCTTCAAAAGTACATATAAAAAAGTTAATAACTTTTTGTGTAAAGTTAAACAAATTATATGGGAAAAATTAATTAATTTAATCAGGATAGCCTCATAAATCCTTCAACTTTTTATATATTTACTTTGGGTAAATGCTTATAGTTTAATTAAATGTTGTTACTTTAAAAAACTGACAATAAGTCTATGTGATTTTATGTAATGGATACAGGGTATTAAGTAGCCGAGATTATTTACTAAATCCAATCTTTTCAGCATACACATACGCACCCACACTGGAGAGAAGCCCTTCGATTGCGATCTGTGCGACAAGAAGTTTTCCGCCTTGGTGGCTCTTAAGAAGCATCGACGCTATCACACCGGCGAGAAACCCTACACCTGTTCAGTGGTAAGTGGTGACTGATGCAGAGCAAATCATTGTTCCTTATTCCCTGTTAAACCCCTTGTCTATATTTGGTAATTGCAGTGTAGTCAATCTTTTGCCGTCAAGGAGGTGCTCAATCGACACATGAAACGGCATACGGGCGAGCGTCCACACAAGTGCAACGAGTGCGGCAAGAGCTTTATTCAGGCCACACAGCTGCGCACGCATTCCAAGACGCATCTGCGTCCCTATCCCTGCTCCAAGTGCACCGAAAAGTTTAAGACAGAGAAACAGTAAGATGTTCACAAACAACATATAACTATGCCGTTTATTAATTAATTATTAATTTTTCTCAACCATTTAGACTCGAGCGTCACGTCAAGGAGCATTCGCGGCAGAAGCGTCGCTCCTTTCCCTGCACGGAATGTCCCCGAAGTTTCCGCACTAGCGCGCTGCTGCAGGAGCATGTTGATTCTGGCGATCACTCACGTGAGTTACAACTACTTATCAACATTCTCACATTTATGCTGACCAACTGGTTTCCCCGGTTTTTAGCTGATAAGCAGGTGAGGGCCAAGCGCTCGGCCAAGGCGATCGAGCGCACCGATTGCGCCATCTGCGACAAGAACTTCGACAGCACCGATACGCTGAGGAATCACATTCGCAGCGTGCACGAGTGCGACCCGGATGACATTTTTGGCACGGATCCACCGCCCGCAAAGCGACGGGCTAAGAAGACCGTCCAATTTGTGGCACCGATAGAGCAGGACGAGGACGAAGACGAAGAAGAAGACGCTGAGCACGATGAAAGGGAAGATGCGCCGGCTGCCAACACTTCGGCGGGTTCGCTCATCTCCAGCCAAACGGATGGCAATGGGGTTGTGGTGCGCGAGTTTCTGGTGGATGAGGGTGACGGCAGCGCCCAGACAATTGTCCTCGAAAATGAGGTGTACACCATATTGCCCTTGGAGGGTGCCGCCTCCGGTGCAACCGAAGCGACATCAGCTGAGGGCGATGTCAAGGCCGAATCCAAGGAGAAGCAAAAACAGGTCGTGTCGCCAGTGGTCAAGAAGGAACAACGGAAATCGTTGGCGGCCAGTTTGGCTGCTGCCATAGCGGATAATCAGGATGAGCCGTTGAGCGAAGATGATTTCAGTGGCGAGGTGCTCACCGAAGAGGATCTAAAGCTAAAGGAGAACATAGCCAAGCTAATTGATATGCTCGTCGATCCGCAGACACTCAAGAAATACGGCTGGCCGAACAGCACCGAGGAGTCGGTGCTCTGCAAGGTCATCGAGAACTGTGGCCACGATCTGGAAAAGGGTGGCGAGAACTATGCCGAATTGGATTACGGCAGTCGCATGCGTGAATATTGCAAGCTCCTCTTCACAGTGGTGATACACAATGACTCGATTAAGTCGCTGCTCAACAATTTTCCCATCGACGATGTCATTGAGTATGTGCTCGGCGATGAGGATCAGGAACAGGAGCAGGACCCGGACATGGAAAAGGACAAGGAAAAGGGCAAAGACAAGGAGACTGAGCAATCAAACACGGACACTAGGCCGGATGCCGTTGAAACCGATGCCTAAAAATCCACATTCGTCGTTTGTAAATATAAATATAAATATATTTATAGGCTGTATTCACAGTGGGACAAATACAATTATTTTGCACGCATTGCCCACTGTGAATGGGTCCAAATATTAGTTTTTTTCACACACGTTTCGGTTTCGGTTTGAACACTAAGTGACCTTAGATAATGAAAATGATGATGATGTTTACCACCCATTGAACTGTTATTCTACAATATATACAATCAATTTATAATATTCTTTTTTTTTAAAAGAGATCTTATTAAATAAACATATTTACAAATTTATTGCTCCATTAGCATTTTGAGTATGCGTTCGTTGTTCTGCAAAATCTTGTGGCGACTCTCGTCCACCAGCTCCTTGTACTCAACAATGCTGGCCTCGATGGAGAGCAGCTGCTGCTTCATCGGTTCCGTTGCGGATGCGGTGAGACTCCGCTCGCGCTTTAGCTCCGTGGCTGCCTGTGTGTACGCCTCCCGCCACATGGTCAACTCTAGCTGCATGGCATCGATGTCCTCGGGTATGAAGTCCATTAGTTTGCCCAGTGGATTTACCGATTTGGTTATCGTCTGTATTATATCGCGCAGATTGTTCACTTGACGCGCCGAGCTCTGACGCGTGCCCGCCGAATGTGTCTTCTGCTGTGCATCCTCCTTGCCAGGGTCGTTGGTCTGTTGAACGAGCTCCTTTTGGGTCTCCAGTATCTGTTGGACCAAACGACCCTGATGCGCATCGTGGAGATCGAGCTGGGCATCCGCTGTACCCGCCTCTATGTCATGCGCATTGGCATCCTCAATGACCACCAGATTCTCGCCATCATCATCAAAATCCCCGAACGTCTCCAGCTTCACATTGACGCCGGACATCTTCAGCTGTTCATGTGGCTGCAACACAATCTCCACATTGCGACGTCGAGGCGCGCCAGGGCGTGCCGACGCTGGTCGTGCGCTGGGCGGACGCAACGAGGTGCGCGGACGTGTCACCGAGCTGGTGGATTCCTTGGAATTGTCACGCGTAAAGGTGCCCTCCCGTTCCCTCTTGGCTTCGCTGCTGCTGTTGTTGTTCGAGTCGGCAGCTGCTGCACTGATCGGACTGTTTGCTGCGGATGGTTCCCTGGAGTCGTTAGTTGTTCGGGGCAGCTCAATGGCATCCGCTTCGGCGGTTGCTGCCTGTCGCTGACTGGCGCTGGAGCGTCGACTCTTGCTGGATGATTTGCGGCTTTCCGATTCCAAATTGCCTACTGCTGGCAGCTCAGTAGTAGCCACAGAAGAAGCAGCTGTTGTTGGTGGCGGTGAAGGCTGCTTGACGGGCTCCACTACTGGTGCAGGTTTCTCCTTGGGCGACGGACTCTTCGGGGCATTGGATTTAGGTGAGGGCTCTGGCGATGGTTGCTTGACTGGCGATGGCTGCTTGACTTGCGCCGCCGGTGTTGGTGACATGGATTTTATTTCACTCTCCGAGGAGACTTGTTGCTTTAGTTTGGACGTCGGCTTTGTGGGTGAGGGACTCTTCTGCTTGGAGCCTTGTTTGGTCAGCTTTGGCTTTGCCTCCGACGCATCGGGCGATGGTTTGTGCCGACGCAGTGGCTTCTCCTTGTCGGCAGGCGATTTTCGTGCCGTCTGCTCGGTGGCTTTGCGCAGCTTCTGCTCCTGCGGCGAGATGCGTTTCTCTTTGCGCTGCGTCGGCGTCGGGTCCTTGCCGGTGGGGGATATTTGTTTGCTTGTCGTTTTTGCAGGCTTTGGCTTGCTCTGGCTCTTGGCCTTGTCGGGATCACTGTTCAGCACCAGCTGCACTGCATCCTGCCATTCAAGACGCTGATCCACAACGCTGGCCATCGCCTGCAGCAGTTCGTTGGTCAACTTGGGTTCGTGCCCGGCCACGATCTTCGAGGTGCGCACCTTCAGATCCAGTTTCGTGGTGAGCTCTATCGGTAATTTATATTTAGATATATATATATATAAATTATATATATATGTGTGATGTGGCCATGACTCACTTGTGACGTCAATCATCTTCTGCAGAAATCGCGTCTTGTCATTTCGATCGCCTATATTCTCGAACAGCTGCTCCTCCGGCGTATAGAGACCCTCAAAGCAGCCCGTTTCCTTGATAAACTACACTTGGAATTTTTGAGTAGGAAACTTAAACAAGTCGGCAAACTAATCCTTACCGCTGTAAAAATGTCGAGCAGATAGCGGAACGGCGGCTTCTTCAGCAGCTTCTCCGTTAATGGCGGTTTCTTCAGATATTTGCCCAAGCTCTGCTGGGTTGCCTTTATGGCGGTATCCAATTCCTGATCTAACATGGTCGGAGGATTTTACTCTACAATGCTTGAAATTTAATACCAACTGGTTTTGCTTGTTTGTTTGGCTCAACTGGTTGCCAGGACAACCTGTGGCCAAGGTGAACTCCAAACGGCGCATGCGTTGCCCAAAAATTCCATCAGTATGGAAATGAATCACATTCAACACATTCTTACTTTATTTTGCTTAAAAAATCTTCTCATACAACTTGATTTGCATTTTATTTGGCCTTTGGAAAGGTTCTCGGCTGGATTGTGTGTGGACATGGATATGTACGACGATTGCACCAAAATATTAAGTTAAAAATACTATTGACAGGCAATAACAAATAAATTATAATTACACACATACTACTGATTACAGATTATATTTATCAGTTGGTATTTTATGTGGGGGGCCAATTAAAAATTTGCAAACAGTTACGACAAAAAGAGCAGTCATTTTATGTGAATCAAGGTGTACTGATTAACAACTAAGTGTGTGTCTGTGTGTGTGTGTGTGTGTATGTGTGTGTGTAGTGTGTGTGTATGTGTGTGTGTGTGTGTGTGTGTATATGTGTGTCTGTGTATGTGTGTGAATTAAGATTAATAATTCTCATAACTAAACTAAGCATTAAACGAGTAATTAAAGCTAGTCATACAAAAAATAATCATAAATGGTGGCATTAATTGGGGTAATTGGAAGGGAATTTGGGGGTAGTTTTTGGGGGGTAGTTAGATAGACTTTGCAAGCAAATTGGCGGCAATTACAAAGGGCTGACAGTTGGACTAACATACAATAAGATCAAAAACATTCGACAACTGCGTCGTCATCTCATACGTCATAGTAGTAGTATATATAGTACAGGTTTTTTAAATAGCGCAGCGCTGCTTAACATATATAGATGTATGTAGGTTTGTATATAGTGTATATAGTATATATGTGTGTGTGTAGCTGGATATATATGTATATATATATATAATTTACATTTAGTGCAGCATTTCGTATTATCCCACGATGTGCAGCAATTAAAAACAATTTGTAAAATTAACTTTCTCTCTCTCTGTCTCTCTAGCGGTCTACATGTGTTTTCTATCTTTTCTGTTTTTTTTTTATTGCACAGTAATTAAAACTAGTTATAATGTCGTAGCGCTTGGTTAATTTGCTCAGTGTATGTGTTCCCAAACAGCTGCTACAATTCAAAGAAATCATCCTGCTGTTTCTCCAGACGTTTCAAGGAATTTTGCACGCGTCGCGTTTGCGTCGTATTCAAAAGCTGTGCCGTATCCGAATTTCCGCTGCCCGTCGAACTGTGTCGCTGATGCTGCGGCGGACGATTGTTGTTGTTGTTGTTGTTGTTGCTGTTCTTGTAGGAGTTATTCAGCTGATGATTGCGACGCTGCGGAAAGGCATCGGTGCAACCGAAACTGTTGCAAATATCCGCATCACTCTGGCTGCTAACTAAACTGCAAGCAAAGAGGAACGTATTAATAGAGAAATAAGTTCAATTTTTGGATATATATATATATATATATATATATATATAGTATAACCACTTACTCCTTGGAACGCTCAACATATTTGCGCGACTCGGAAATTGTGTTGTCAATCTTGTTGAGAAAATCATTCATGCACTTGCGATTCTCCTCCTCTGGCGTCATCGCTGCCACAGAGTCCAAAGACTTGCTCTGCTTGCTGTTGCACGCACTGTGATTGTGCATCATCGCCGGATCCTCATCGCTGCCACCAACCACCAACAGTTCGCCGGCAATCGAATATGGACGCGGTGCTGTGCCGTGCAACTGACCGGAACGTGTGCTCATCGTTGAGGAGGACGACGATGATGACGCTGACGATGACGTTGATGAGCTGTTGGTGTTGCAACTGTTGTTACTGCTGCTGCTGCTGTTATTGTAACAACATTCCGTTTGACTTAAATTGTTTGCATTGTTGAGCGCCTCACGTTGCACATTCGCATCGGGTGTCGTTGGCGGCGATTCGAGTACGCCGGCCAGCATATCAGCCCCATTTGCCTGCAAATAGTAGGGTGACGTCTTCTCCACCGGCACCAGCAAGAATTGGCGCAAGAACAAACTGTCCGAGGCAAACAGGCGATTCGCGCGGCGTATTTGTTCCGTCTGTAAATATACACGATATATATATAATATAGATAATTGTGAGTATATATATATATATATATATATAGATATAAACACATCAGAGTATTGTCAATTATTTGCAATTTCACGAGTGGCAACTGATTGATCGATCGATTCGATTCGATGCGATTCGATTGATGGATCGATGTTTGGAGGCGGTGACACAATCCGTATATGGCCAAAGCATTTAATTTTGTTGAACAATGATTAATTAGGCGAAAATGAACCAAACTTCAGCTACTTATCTGGGTTTAAGAAGCTGACCAAATGTTGACACAACAACAACCACAACAATATTAGTCCAGATTCTCAGACCACTCGTGATTCTATATAAATTATATGCAGCAAATGACGTGGCACATGCAGCACTACTTTCTGTGCGATAAAGCACAGTGGATAAACAATTAGACAAGTCGTCGTTCTACAGGGTATACGCCATGTTCCCCCCCTAACGTCAAAAATTATATTAAGACTATCTTATTTACCCAAATCACTGTCACGACGAGCTCGCAGCAACACAGGTGTGGACTTGCTCATAAACATTAAGGAACAAAAAAATAAAAAACAAAAAAAATATATATATAAATATAACTTTGTATGGGTGCATTATTCAAAATATTCGCAAACATTTATCTTTATAGATAACAAGTACGCAAAAAAAAACGTGATCAAAACTAGCAGTTAAGGTTTTTTTTAACTACCCAAAAAACTAATACACGTCTATTGTCAGCATTTAATTAATATTTAACAGTTTATGGAAACTTTTTTATTTAATGATTAGCAAACAATAAAAAGCAAATTTGGGATTTGTTGAAAGAGTTGTAGATTCTGAAGAAATGCCAAATGTTGGGGATGTATTTTAAGGAATTTGTATTTGAGATTTTTTTTTAGATATTTATTAATTGTTTGTGGAATTTTTTTTGTATTTTACTTTTTACACTTTTTATTGACATTTTCCAATTTGCATAATTTGACGTATTCTTAGAACCATAAATACGTTCAACCCTTCATTGTAATCGTGGGATGTTTTTAAGATATTTCTATTAGCGATTGTCTTATTAATGTTTTGTCTAATTTGCTTTTTAAAACTTGATTTTCTGGTCAGTTGAAAAAGTTAATTTTCATAGATTTGTCGTGTGGATTTTTTAATGCATCTTTTTTTTTCTTTGTATAATTTGTATTAAAAGTTGAGCTTGTGATTGATCAAATAATTGTTTGAGACAATTAATTAAATGTGTGCCTGAAACGATTGAGCAATGATTCAACACAAACTAATTTGAAATTCTGATCTGAGTGGAATATGCAATTGCAAAGTGTTATTAAATCGATAAAGTTGAAAGCGAGCTGACATTTCTGATGGCAAACGAAATTTAAATAATTGTCGTGCCACACGACAATCTGTCCGGTCAGAAAGAAGCCATTGTAAGTTGCACAGAGCACACACATACACACATATGTGTCGCGTACACGTGCCCCTTTGGAAGGGTGTCTGTGTGTGGCAACTTCTGGCTCAAATCGATGATGCATGCATTGGAGAATGAAAAATGAGTGTATCTTTTAGTTTGTTACTTACCGTTGCGCCATATTTGAGGGAAATGCCTTGCAATGTGTCCGTTTTCTCGACGGTGTGTCTTATGAGGATTTCATTGTTGCGCAGATTGTTGCAGCAGGTGCTGCCATATTTCTTGAGGGTGCGTGAGGAGTCGCGTATCGATTGCTTTTCGTTGAACATGAATTCCGAATCATCCATATCAGGCACGATCTCTTGAAACTGCAATTGTGGATCGAAATAAAAATGGTGAAAGTGTCAAATATTTGTCTCTCCTTTTTCGTTTTTTCTTTTCTTTATCATAGACACAACAAAACGAACAAATAAAACACAAAAACAAAAAATAGATTACCAAAATACATATAAGACACAAGTACGTGTGCGTATGTATAGAAATGTTGCTATAAATATAATCAGCGGCACTGGCAAATTTCACTGATTTACTAATTTCTCACCTGAACTCCCCCCTTGCGGTAACTGCAATCGAGCGAAACCAACCAAACCAAAAAAAAAAAATCGAAAAACACCAATACGATTGCAATCTTTTAGGCAAATTAAAGGCGCATTTTAATTTTACGATGCATTTGTTCTACTTAAATCAATACACTCACTTTTCTGTATTTCTACATCCAAAATAAGGCGCAGATTTGTTTTGTTTTCGTTTTATATTTTAGCAGTGCTGATTTTCAGTTTCGCCAACTACGTGTTTACAAGTGTTTGTTGTTGTTGTTGTGCTGTGGTATTCAGTGTGACCGTAGCTAGCCACAGACAGATACCAAATTATGCAATACACGATAGAGATGGGCGGTTGAATTGCAAATGCAGACACGATAATTGAATTTCCTTTCACTCTTTGTGATTGTTTGGCATATTTTATTTATATTCATGTCTAGCGCTAGCAAGCCGGTCTGATGACGTTGTTATCGATAATTGCAATGCGCGCAGAGTTGCAAGTGTAGCACAGGTGAGCGCGTGTTTGTTTGTTGTCTTTTGTTTCGAAGCGAATTATAATTTTGCGATTGTTTTTTTTATTGCTTACGAGGGCGCATAATAATTTTTTTCACGTGATAGCCCACGAAACGTTAACTGCTCTCAATGTATTTGTAAATGTTTTGTTAGACAGTTAAACCTGTTTGGCCAAAGCAGCAACACAGTCGACGTTGTCTCGACCCACTCAACAAAGACAAAAAAAAACAACAACGGCCGCAGCTAGCTGCAATGTACGTATGTGCATATATACATATAAATATATGTATGTAAATTATCAAATCGAATTGCCGGCATGCCTGCTAATTAACATTGTGACTTCAAATATGCTTATATTAAAGGTAACTGGTCCCAATGTATTCTAATTTCAAATAATTGAGGCATTGAGGCAGCAATTACTTCCTTGGCTTCGATTGCAACTTAAAAGAACAGCATGCATAGAAAAAATAAACACGCCTAAGCATGTATGTACAAATGTGTGTGTTGGGTATTTACATTAACAGCTGTGCCTGCTGTTAAGGTCAACAACAGGTTGGCGCAATTGCTGTCGAAGTGTTTTCTGCAATAACAGTGGGTGACCAACCACATTTTGTACTTTGTACGCATGTATGTTTGTATGTGTGTGTAAATATACTTATATACATATGCGTCTGTGTGTGTGTGTGTGTAGAGAGAGAGAGAGCAGTCTATGTTCGGCAATATTAGCTGATATTATGCGGCAACTGATAAGCAGTGCTTGCCAGAATTCGAGATACACGGAAATCAAAATCGACAACATCAACAAAGCAATTTAAACAATGACTGTGTTTATAGAAATGCCATATGGATTTAGGTGTTCTAAAAACAATAATGCAATTTTTATTCAAAAACAATGGATATTCATTTAATTTCCGAAAGTTTGATCAAGCTACAAATAACAAATATGATCACATTTCTAATAAGCGCAGCGATAATTCTCCATTTCTCAGACGTTTCAGTCGTTGCTGAAATTCAGCTGAATTTCGCATAGATCTACTATAAAATATATATATATATATATAAACGGTCATTGACATGCACAAGAAAATATCACAGAAGCTAGTCACGCGCCGGGTTTCCCTCAATTGACTTGGCTAAATTTATACATATATATATGTATATAGTTAAGTGTACAAACACTTATTTATAAAGCTCTTGAAATTGTCCATGCTCGGCAAAAATCGGTCAACTGATCTTTTGATGAGCAACCATAAAAAAGAAGATAAAAGGGGGGATTTCTCATCAAGACGCTCAAATTCGGACATGTTAATTATTTATTATTATTTAATTGTTTATGTCTATCAGACGACGCAAAACCTGTGAAATCGCATAGATTCACCGAAAAAGACGCGCTAAATGAAAATGTATGGCAGACAATCCAAATTTCACATGTGATTCATTAATTTTTTTAACGGGGCTGGGAAATAACAAAACAAACAAAAAACAAAAAATTACCGTGGGTTGGATGCTCAATGGATGCCAAAGAACTTGATGCGATCTCTCATCGAAGGTCAAGCACATAATTGCAACACTCTCGACGACTAGTTGAAAAGGCCAAAATTAAAGTCGAGCGGCAAACAATCATAAATAATCGTATGGCAAAAAGCGCTCAAAACCCATAAATTTAATGAAATCGCTTGCAATCTATTTCAATCACTTTTTTTTGTATTTGTTTGTTGTTGTTGTTATGTATTTAAGTGTGTCAAAATTTATGGAAAAAATCGGAAGCGAAGGTTGAATTTAAGTAACAGTTACTTTGCCGCACTATCTTTAGTATTAATTAAAAGTAACAAAATAGGAAATTACAAAATTCATAATTGATTCTAGCAGCAAACAAACAAGCGAACGTTAAATAAAAATCGAACCAAATCGTACGTGACACAAATACAACATGGTAGCTTAATTTCAAAATTATTATTATGCATGACAACTTTGGGCATGGAACGAAACGTCGAAATTAGCACTGTGCACATACAATTGGTAAGAGATCCGTTGATAACTCTGGTTAGCAAGCCTAATTAACTGATAATGACTTACTCACATACAGCCAAAGACATTCATGCATCAGTCAGTTAGTCAGTTAACAATAGGGGTATTTTGTACTCAAAACACAAAGGTAGCCAACTTTTGCTGGGGCTGGTATATCATATCATGACGAATCGAAAGTTCATTTGCTTCAACATGTTTTTGTTTGTTTTTTATTATCATGCTTCTGGGGCTTAGCACACAAATCACTTTCAGACCTTCTATACTTATATATGCTCAAGCTGTCTCACACATCGCATCCATTGTATAAGCCACGTTGCACTTGACAAATGCAAAGCCCCGCCAGTCCAACAAGTGCCAGTATCTTAAGTGGCATTTGCACATATATTTTCTGATAAATAAAATGGATGGGTTCTTACTGAATAGTTGCTGCTCTAGCACTATTTGATGCGACGACGAGTATTTATTTAAGTGTACTCGTGTTTATTAAGTTGTTTATCTATCTGTGTGTCTCTCTAATTGAAGGGCAACATCATCGCTGCAACAGTTACACAGTGCACAGTAGTACACAAAGCAGAATTGCAATAAAAGTCATGAGCTTGAAATATTTAATTATATTCAATCTTATGGAAACAGGAATTATAATCCATCTTATGGAAACAGCTCTGGGGCACTGCCAGATTATCATACATGACAGTCATTCAAAGATTCTATAGTAAAATTCCAATATTGATCTAAAAATTCCAGCCATAAGAAGACTCCGAAGACTTTATCCATTTGATATTCCCTTTAGATAAAATAATATAAATTCCAAATACGTAAACGTTATCTATGTAAAATTTAAATTGGATATATATTTAAACGTAATGATTATCTGCCTGGGGATAGATTGTAAATATATAGAGAGATATATATATATAATATATAATAAATGATTTAAAAAAAAAAAACAAATATTTTTCTAATGGTTACATTTTGATGTCAGGCCTTGAACTGAATATTCCGGATTTGTAAAGTAAATTATTTCAGAAATGCTGACATGACTGATTGATCCAACAACTTAAAACTCATCTCATCATATAGTGGAACAATCCGTAGCTTAGAACTATATACTGCCTTCAGCACAAATATGGACATTTGTTAAGTGTCATAATTGTTGCATTTGAGCTATACAAATTCAGACAGACAGACATGGCTATATGGACTCGCCTAGTGATGCTCATCAAGAATATATATATATATATACCTTATGGGCTTCGAGACGACTCTATCAATGCGCTACACTCATCACGACAAAGTGATAATAATGTCAACAAAGGTATTCAAATGTGTACCATCATTTAAATTCAATCAATAGTTGAGGAAATGAAAACTTGTGATTTTTCGAGGTATCACTGTATGTATGTAAATTTGCAGTTTTCATTACTGAACATTCGCTACGTGCACTATAATAATCAACGTGACATTCTATGATATTTCAATGGTGATTCGCCAAATACTTTTAGCCAGTGGCATTTTAACTGGCCACAAAATACAAATGTGAAGGGCATTTTCTAGAAGACGAACTCTAATAATAATATTAGTTGATTGCCTCTTACGCACGTTATCGGCATTATGTGCTACTTGGCAACAGACACATAAACATTAAGTAAATATACTATATATATATATATATATATAGTCGATATGTATGTGGTTAAACCACTTACTGATTAGCTGTCTAAATATATATGTATATATATTGGTACGGCTTGTTGTATGTTCTCGCATGCAATTAATTGTAAGTCAAATGAGACTTTAAATATTTAAATTAATTATATGCACAGGCCCCGTTAGCTACAGGCATTTACGGAATTAGAAGTTACACCGATACATAGATATATATATATGTATACATGTCAGTCCCCCGTAACTTTTGCATTTAATGACGGCTGCAGTTGAGTTTGGGATGATTGATTATACGGGGGGTAATTAATTTTGATTCTCATCATTAAATCATTTGACTAGCCATCGAGTGTATAATATTTTGATTTATTCAGCTGTGCAGTTGTTGCTGTTGTTGAAATTGAATTCTTTTGTTTTTATTTACGGTTGGGCTAAATAACAAATAAGCCACAAGATAAGATTGTGAATGTCTCGATCAAGGCTAGAATCTTATTTATAGTCAATATGCGTGTTTATTAGTGGCTTAAAATATGATTGATGCCCATATAAAATAAACAGTGGAACAA